TTTAAACAGAGAAACCAAAAATCCAGAGCAGCCTCTGGACTTCCTCTGAGCAAGCAGTTGGCAACAGTGGGAAGGAACCAAAAAAACCCAAAGGGGGAGAGGAGAGGAGAGGAGAGGAGAGGAGAGGAGAGGAGAGGAGAGGAGCCCAGTGCATCATGGGAATCCCCTGGCAGTCTAAAGCTATAGCAGCATAACTAAGGGACAGTTCAGGTGATCCTGAGAAGCCCTAACTATAAGCTTTATCAAAGAGAAAAGTTTCTTAAATGCATAAATGTACAATGCATAAAATTTGATCAAGTGATAGAAAAACATTGTTTTACATTTGAGAATTATAAGCCACATATATGGCACCTATTTAAACCGGAAGACAGCCTTGCTGTCTGTCATCTTCTGTAACCTTCAAAAGAACACAGACTCATCATGCCTCATCATCACGCTGTTCATCATTAGTAAACCCTGCTGACTGAGCAAGTACTGTCAGACCAACTTACAGTTGTCAAAACAGATGCGCCCAATGGCCCGGCCAGTGTTCAGCAGCATTTCCTGGTTATTGCTGTTCAGATGGGGAACCAGCACTTTTACCAGGCCTGCCTCGATGCACGGCTCCCTGACTGCAGCTACAACAGACACAAGGACAGGATTTATTCTCTAGAACTCTGCCTTAAATGCTCGATTGTACCAGTGATTACAGATTTATTGCAACATGGTATTATAGTTTCATACTACATCGCTAAAGCCAAAGGTGTTGATTATAGACTTTGTACAATTACAACTAGCAGTTAGAGTTTCAGCTGTACAGAAGTTAGCCACTATCTGAAGAATTTGAAAATCTCTTGCTTTGGTGGCTGCAGAATTAGTATAAAAAGACACAATGGAAGATTGTAACTAGTGCCCCCATATGGATGTAACTTAAGTAGAGCAACAGTGAAAAGCAGCTCATCAACTGCAGCGTTTTGGACTGGCTAACTTTATATTAACCTTTATCAGAATAATTCTGCATATAATGATTTTAAACCCCTTGTGACCAAAAGAATAAAGAGTTATTTCTGCCCTACATAGTGACATATTTTCATCTACAGTACATTTAGCATTATACTAAATATTCAATATCTGCTTCAGGCAGTGCTATTTGAAACACATTTCAATACATGTTTAAAATGGGTGGAATCAAACCCTAAATGTGGTTGTACATTATACAGTCAAATGTAATGAGTCATCATTTTACATTATTTCACATTCAACAGTTCCCTGTAATTTACCATGAGTGTGGTTTCTCATAAAGGGCAGCTCCCCAGAATATAAAAATTACACCATAAATCTTTTGGTAAAGAAAAAAACAAAACAGTAATTTTTTACTCTAGTTGGTCAAATAGGACACTGGGCTGTTTTTTCTACTGTTCATAAAACAACAATATAAAAACTATTAACACCTAAACCAATACTGTACCTTCTCGTGCCATCTCTGCTACCACCAGAGCCACCTGGCAGCTCAGGCTGCTTTTACTCCGTAAGGCCTGAGCCAGTGTGGGTAGAATCCCACTTCTGACAATCTCAACAGCAGCATCTTTCTCTGTGAACACACAAATGCATTTGTTCAGAATGATCACAGTGTCAAAATATCTAATCATATCACAGCATATACCTGAAAGATGTCATGTGAATTTAGGTTGGTCATTTTGGTTTTGACCATAAATCTTTGAACAAACTTCAAGTCAAAGGGTATATAGTTTATCTTTTCTCTATTACCACGATGAGACTTTTTCTTTCACAAATTACATGTGACAGTCTAACAGGTCAACACAACCACCTTTATACCATATGCTCAATTTGAACAGACGCCAAGACAATGTAAGGAACTTCTCATGGCTTTATTACATATATGTGATTTAAATGTTGATTACATGTCCAATTAAACAGCCAAGTCTCTCTTTGAAAGCAATTTGTAAGGTCATACCTGCAACTTTTTTGTAAGATTATAATTGTAGCAATAAAATGTGGTTCAAAGGGAAACAACCAAGATTCATGTGTTGTCATTTTGGACTCTACTTGGGTATCAGGAGTGAGTTTCCCTCGTATTTCTGTTGGCAACTAATAGAAGTCTGAATAGAAGAATCACCATCTTGTTTTAATAGAGGGGTTTGTGTGTCCCTGTGATCCTGTGAGCTATGATGTTGGGGGCAATAGCCCCTGGTAGGTTCTCCAAAGGCAAATTGGGGGGAGGGACCAGACTAAGAGTGATTTACAGGATCTCAAAGATAACATAAATAAGGGAAGGCACCACTTTGCCCAGCTAAAGGCAGCTAGTGTCTGGCGGCCGAGTCTTGTCCTCCCAGCCCGAAGAGACGACACTGGGCAGTCACCCAGTGAGCCCACTACCCACAGGGCTGGAGATTGGAGTCAAGTGAAATGCCAACCAGGAAGTGGAAGGGGTGGACACCTAGGTGCTGACCCCTAATGGTGTACACTGGTTGTGGGGATGTAGAAGGTCCCTTTAATGGCAGGGAAGGAAGCTGAGCTGGCACAGTATGTGGAGTGGTACTGATTATATATAGTTGTGCACATCCTATTCACAGTAAAGGTTCTGGAACCAGACTCCTGGAAAGAGGTGAGAATCTGTCCTTGTACAGAGTTGCCCAGGGCAAGAGGATTTAAGCAGGTGTGAGGATATTCACAAGCTAGACTTTTCCCCAGGGAACGAGCATTTCAGAGCAGTTGTCACTGGATGGTCTCCTGGAAGGGTTTCTGCCCGGGGATTCCATAGTTCTCCTAGGTGTCTTCAATGCAAAAATGGAAAATGATAGAGAAACCTGGATGGGAGATGATTGGGAGAAACGGCATGTCTAATCTGAACCCAAGTGGTGTTCCATTTTTGGACTTCTGCAGGAGTCATGGATTAGCCATAACAAACACCATGTTTGAGCATAGGGTGCTGTATTTGTATGTGCATGTATTTTGCCTAAGGTCAATGTTCGAGTTTGTAGTTGTATCATCTGATCTGCAGCTGTATGTCTCAAACACTCAGGAGAAGAGAGAAATAGAGCAGTCAACTGATGCCCACCTGGTGTGGAGCTGGATCTGACAGCAGGGAAAATTGCCGTACAGACCTGCTAAACCCAAACGTGTAGTGAGAATCAGCTGTAAACATCCAGCAGTGTTCCTACCTCTGGAAGAATTCTCCTACATCAAGAGGGAGGTTGGGGACATTGAATCTGAATGGAGCATATTTTAAACCTCTATTGCTAAAGTGGCTGTCAGGAACTGTGGTCAGGAGGTCACAGGTGCCTGTAATAATGGCAACCTGAAAACCCGCTAGTGGATGCCGGCAGTAAAAGAGGCCATAAGGCTGAAGACAGAGACCGTTCAGGCTTGATTGCCTGTCCTGAAGCAGCAGATACATACCAGTAAACCAAAAGTGCTGTAGCTGTGGCAGGAGCAGAGGTAACTGTGTATGCGTGGTACGATTTGGGGAGGCTGTGGAGAACACTCACTGACAGGTTCTCAATATTTTTACAAATACTGTACATGGTACTGTTGGCTCCATCAGACTGTGACCTTCAGTGTACAACGGGGCGGTTTGCAGCCATGTGCGAAGCGTCCACAATGAGTATCAGCACCTCCAAATCTGCCGGAAACCGGTGGATGGCTCCCTCTCAGTTGAGAGTGGGGTTTCTTTATATGGGGACATAAACCTGTTTACTCACTCATATTATCAGGAGTAAGTGTGTGTGTGTGTGTGTGTGTGTGTGTGTGTGTGTGTGTGTGTGTTACACCACTTACTCTTTTCTAGCAGCGCAGTTAACACTGTATCCAAATGACACTTGAGCTCTTCGTCAATCAGCTCTGTACTCACACTGATAGCCTTTAATGCGTCGTTTAGAGAATCTGCAACACACACAGACAAATATACACCACCAAAAATGTTTTTTAAAAAAGTCAGTTTCCGTGTAATATCTAAAATTTCATCATAGGAAGTATTATAAGAGAACAAAAAAAAGGAAATGCTGCATTTCTTTCATTGCTATGCAGATGAGACACAGTTATATTTATCTATGAAGCGTGATGAAATCAACCAGTTTGTCAAATTTCAAGCATGTCTTTAAGACAAAAGGCCTGGATGATCTGTAAATGTATACGTTGTTATGGCCGCAATCACCCAGGCTGCCAGGCTTTCTGTTTTCTTTTGTAGGTGCTATTCCCCTAGACTTGCTGTGCTTGGGCCTGGGCAACAAAGCAAGTTCAACATACCCAGGATGTCTTTTCATTATCTTGCTTTGCTAAGCCTTTTTCTTCTTCTTTTTGCTAAGATTTTTTCTTATATTAGTATTATATTAGATTTTAATTTTTAGTCCTATCAATATCACTGTCCCATCATTCAGGCATCTAACTAGAACTATAGCTATGCATTCCATTAAAGTTGTTGCAGATGGCATGCACAACAATTTTAGCTTTATTCTTGTAGCTTCAACCCTGGTGATGTTAAACAGTCTTAATAGCGTATTACATAGCGTATAACAGAAAAACATTATCGATACCAGTCGGTGGGCATACAGTAAATCTTATAAGTTCAACAGGTACAAGGCTTTAGCTCTCCTCAAAGACCGTCTCACTCTTTGGGCACTGAGCTCCACAGGATCTTCTATGAATGGTGATGCAATTTTCCAAGAGAATTGATTTGCTAGTAGGTCAAACATAAAATTCTTAGTATCAGTATCATTATTTTATTTTTGTTTTAATATTTTTGTGAAGAGGTAAGTAAAATAAATAAAATGCAACATTAATAAAACTTCAGGTACAAGAACATCCAGGAACATGCAGTGAATCACACAAAAGATGAACAGCCAAGTCACAAGATAAAGTGACAATGACACGGGGAGAAGTGCAAGGCTAAATACACCTGTAGCCCACTGGGAACATGACCGAACAATTGCAAAATGCAGGACAAAGACAGGAAGTAATACTAAAAATTTCAACATCAAGCAAGTTTAAAAAAACAAAAAGAAATCAATCTAAATCCAAAGTCAAAACAACAATTGGCTTTGTGAACCTTGATCTATTTCCACTCCTGCTAATTAAAAAATATTTTGCTATTGTGCTCTGATTGCCATCTGTTGGCAGCACCAACAGGCTCCTTAAATCTTGTTCAAATCATTATTGCATAACAGATTACATTTCCAGAGGCAGGACATATCATAACTGGGGATTTTAACCACGCAGATTTAAAGACAGTTCTACCCAAATTTGAGCAACACATTAGTTGTTCCACCAGAGGGGAAAACATACTGGATAGAGTTTGTTCTAACGTCAAGAAAGGCAATCAACACCATCTTTACACTAAGGCCAATCAGATCATTTGTCCATACTTTCAACCCCAGCATACAACCTCCTCAGAAGAAAAGCTCAATCCAACTTGAGAACTTTAATAACATGGCCTGAAGGAGCTTCCTTGTTGCTGCAAGACTGTTTTGAAAGGACTAACTTGGACATCTTTGAGAATCCGGACTTGGAGGAATACACATCAGCTGTACTCTACGACATACAGACCTGTATTGACAACCTCACAGCTTCTAACGGTGATGCCTTACTGGCAGAGGAACTAAACTGCTTCTTTGACTGATTTGAGGTGAAAACAACAACTATAGAGACCACATCCTCACTAGCCTCAGACAGCCACAGCCCCATTGTGCAGAAGCATAAGGACAGTGCTAAGAAGAGTGAATCCAAGGAAAGCTGCTGGTCCTGATGATGTGACGGGGTACTAAAAGAATGTGCAGATCCGCTTTCTACGGTCTTCACTACAATCTTCCACATCAATCATCCCATCCTGATTGCCAAAAAAAAGTACATCATCAGATGGAGAGCCTGGTCCTGCAGCACATCAAAGCCTCCCAACAACCTTTCACCCACACCAGTCTGCCTATAGAGCCAACAGGTCAGGAGGATGACATTGTCACTGCTCTTAACACTGCACTGACCCACCTTGACCACCAGGGAAGCCATGTCAGGATGCTTTTCATAAACGTCTTTAACACTGTCACCCCCAGCAAACTGGTCTCTAAACTGAGTGACCTAGGATTTTCACAGCACACCTGCCACTGGATCAAGGACTTTCTGACCAACCGCCCCCAGATGATCAGAATAAGTAACCACTTCTCTTACAGTATCACACTCAGCCCAACAGGGCTGCGTGCTGAGTCCCATCCTCTGCTCACTGTACACATATGACTGTGCCCTAATCCATAACTCTAACAACACTAGTAAGTTTGCAGATAACACTGTGGTGACTGTGGTTGCACTTGTCTCAGGAGGAGATGAGAACACCTACAGAGATGAAGTCCAAAGATGGTGTGGTGTTCAGACAACAATCTGGTCCTGAACTCCACAAAAACAAAAGAACTCATCATAGACTTTCAAAGAAACTGAGCAGGCCCTGATTCCCTAACCATCAATGGGGACTGTGTTTAAAGGAACCCTGTCTTCAGGTTCCTGGGTAAACACACGGATGAAGACCTCTCTTCTGTCAAACATTCCAAACTGTCTGGACCTGACTTCTTATTATCTGTATACTTTGTATTTATTTGTGATGCAGTAAAAGATTAACCAATCTCACTGCAAATCACAATAAAGATATTCTGTTCTATTCTGTTCTATTCTATTCTATTCTATTCTATTCTATTCTATTCTATTCAAACGTTTTAATCTGACTGCCTTGATTTAAAAAGTTCTTTCTCTTTCTTTTTGTCCACTGAAATTTTTCTTGTGAGACCAGAAAGCACTGCACTTTATAGTAGGAAAGTAAAATAGTCAGGTGATTGGGTTTTAATAAGTAGTCATCAAAAGAGAGTGCAGGACTTTTACATACACTCATCAAAAAAAACATTAGACCACTCTTGTTTTCTTCAATTTCTTGTTCATTGTAATGCCTGTTACTGCTCAATGTATATTTGCTTGGACAAATATAATGATAACAACAAAAATAGCTCATAAGAGTTAAATTTATCTGACATCTTTGATATCTTGACATGTTCCATGGTTTTCTTGATAATAACCAAAATCACTTAAGTTCTTACATCAATAGTTATGGCATTGTACTGCCAAAAACAGTGCTTTTAGTCATTCCATGGTTTCTTTTCTGTCTGTTATAGTCACATGATACACACAGGAGTTAGTACTTGATTGCATAACCATTGTTTTTGATGACTGCAGCCATGCGTCTTGGCATGCTCTCCACCAGCTTCTGACATTGTTCTGCTGTCACAGCAGTCCATTCCTGTTGCACAAATTCAAACAAATTTGCTTTGTTTTTGGGCTTGTGATTCTCCATTTTCTGCTTGATGATTTTCTACAGGTTTCCAATTGGATTTAGATCTGGTGATTGAGCAAGCCAAGGCATGATTCCAACGTTCTGGTTTTCCATCCAGGCTTTAACTGACCTTGCCATGTGGCAAGGGGCATTGTCTTGTTGGAAAATCCAGTCATTCGAGGCAAGAAAGAGTTTTTCCAGCTGATGGAAGAACACTTCATCAACGAAAGGCAGAGGAAAGCCTTTCGTTGATGAAGGGCTTCTTTCATGCCCTGTGTGACTTCAGATCAGCTTCATGAAGTCGGTTTCCAACTGTCCTTACTGAACAAGTCACATTTCTCGACAGTGCCCACTCATTTTTAAGGTCCCTGGAGGTCTGACGACGATTCCTGACACAGGAAGAGTGCATGGTCCTCCCATGGGGTAGAAAGATGGCTTTAATGTAAGCAGGAAACCACTGTAGGCATTTGCATGTGCAGTGCTGCTTATGACATGAAATGGCCTCTTATATACCCTGGGAATAAAAAATAAGATTAAGCATGTTAAATAGGACATAAAGTATTATGCAATCAGCTCCATTTTTTGTCGTGTTCATCATATTATTTAGGTTATATACCTTTGGTGGTACCAGGCATTAAAATGAACAAGAAATTGAAAACAAGGGTGGTCAAATAATTTTTTCCAGGACTGGATATATGAACGCCTGTTACATTCAAGCTAAACTAAACAAGTTCACGCAGTGCTGATCAGCTCCAGCTAAATCTCACATTTCTATTGTCAGAGTTTTAAATTATTGATCGGACGAAGACAGAATAGGCCACAGTAACTAGAAGTGTGGTGGAGCCTACTGAAATGTCTAGTATGTACTGGCTAAAAAAGGAAAGCAATCAATGGCAAGGCTCCTCTCCACAGATCTGTGACAGACTGGGATTATCTATGCCCATGAGGATACAATCTGCCATCAAAAATAAAGGCAATGTTGTTTGCACTGAGGTTGTACTTTGTGGGCTGAATCTTAAATGCAATCTGTGCTGGATAAGACCTCACTATGTGATTATTATATTGTTTACATGAAAGCATGTTTTTGTAGGATAAATAATTTTCTCAGTATAGTCTGGTCAAATAAAAATGAAACAACTAATGTTAGCAAGTTTACCAAACAGACTAATAAGTTAACACAAATGAGCAGACAAAAATTGCAAACTTACCAAACAAAATGCAAAGCAGAAGATCCCCATAGTTACTGTAAGACCAAATGACTGCAGTGCCAGTACAATTTACAATGCTGTCAGTGAATCGTAAATGAAAATGTAAAGTAATTACCAATCTAGATATTTTTAGACATCTGGAACTAAGTGAAGCCACAAGGATATTCAAGAAGATGTGAAGATGTCATTTATCTTTATATGTAGCATATACTCCAGACCTAGATGAATATTTGAGCTGTTGCTGATATCAGCGTGGGTTCTCTCCGGGTTCTCCGGCTTCCTCCCACAAGGTCCAAAAACATGTTGAGGTTAATTGGTGATTCTAAATTGTCCGTAGGTGTGAATGTGAGTGTGCTTGGTTGTCTGTCTCTAAGTGTAGCCCTGTGATAGACTGGTGACCTGTCCAGGGTGTCCCCTGCCTTCACCCTAAGTCAACTGGGATAGACTCCAGCCCCCCCGACAACCCAGTGAGGATTAAGCGGTGTATAGATAATGGATGGATGGATGGATGATCCGTATGTAGCCTCGTAAGGGTTCATGGAGGGAACTTTTCAGAACTGCTTTGAACTCCTTCACAAGTTTCAGGTTCCCTCACAATTCTATTTTATTACTTCACAATACGTTTTTTGTCACTGTGCAATAAGTTTGCATTACCTCAGAATAGGTTTTGCATTACCTCTCAGAGGATTGATTATAGTTAAGAGTTAAGACAGTTGGGGGAACACTCTGCAGATCATATAGAAAAGAGAGATGATGTGGTACTTTGTGTGTTGCATTGATTGCTCACTAATCATTTTATGGATATGTTTGGCTGTGGAACTAGTGGAACCTGCAGTAGTGTTACCAACACATCACAATAGTTCAAGAATACAATAGCTTCAACATATGATGAGCAGGCCAACCATGTTAATTCCCTGCACAACTCCAACTGCTTATGGCCGTTAGTGTTTCACCAGCTTTAAAATAAAAAAGATGCACAACTCAGCTCTTTAACAACCATGGCAGCAATCACAGTCACACATGCATCATTATCTAGGAGCTGCAATCTGCAACTTGCAAGCTACAGTCTGTCACAGTCAGCCTCAGCAGTGGTCAGTGAGTGAGCTAGTAAACCAGCTCTTCCAGCTAGCTTTCTAACTGCAGAGGTACAGACAGGGCAATTACAGCTGAGGGTGCACAGACTCTTGCTCTGGTCCCAACCAGTCATGGTCTGCTACACAATACTGTATCATAATACATAACGATAGTCGTGATCATTTATTTTGCAATGTCCTACTAATTAATTTAAGTTAATAAAAAGGAGCTCCACACAACATGATTGAATCCTTTACATTGTATTTTGGACAAACATTTTCAACTTCCCTATTAAACAGATGCATGACAGAATCATAGAGTTCCTGTGTGCTGCTGATGAACAGACTTCTGATGATGATGCTGAATACACTAAGTTTTCTGTGATTAAAAATAAATAAACCCAGTATCCCAGAATGAGATCTGTACTGGACAGTTCTTCGAGCTCACGTATCATGACCACCATTCAGTGTAATTATATGAAGCAGTGTGCCCTCCAAGTCTCAAGGCCGGAAAGTAAAACCTCATATTTACTGATCATTCAATCTACTTGGACTCCACCAAGAAGATTTTGTAAGTTGCCGACACTGTTGTGAGCATTTATACTTGCGCTGGTGTCTATATCGCTCTGCAATTAAACTGCCAAAACACTAGTTAGTGTTGGAGTTTCCCCGGCACTGTGTTGAGTTTCTTTTTGTACTTTAAGCAATGGCAGCAAAAATGGTGTCGATCATGTTGAAGTCGGAGTTAATAAATGTTGAACAACAGCTATTTTTACTAAAATGTGTGTATCAGGAGAAAAGAGGGATGTCAGAACGTTTTGAGTTTTACATGGATTCAGCAAACTATGAAAACCAGAAAACAGCACATCGCTACACTGGAAGACATGGTTGTATACTATTACATATTACATTTTGTTTCACAGTAGCACTATACTTGTGCAAATCAATATTGCAGTGTAAACCCGTCATACTACTGGAAAGCTGCCCAAGCAGAGTAATCACTGTTGTTATGATATGCATTGCTACAACCAGTAGTTATATTAATGGGCTGATGTATATTAGGATTCAAACCACAAGCATTGTTCAAGCTTGACGGTG